TATATGGATATCCTACACATTTATTAATGATTGTTGGTTAGTTTAATAACAATAGATAACACAAACCTCAAGAAGGCATCTGAGAAACAAATACCCCTACTCTCTCTAACCAAGAACCATGTGAATTTTTTATCGAGGTGGCAAGAATATTTGATGACTTCCTTCATCTGTTGTCAAGGAAGGCACATACAGGTTCCTATCTGGAAAGCATCCATTTTTGGTCCCATTTGATCTGGTGACTATTCAGAAGAAATAATTTGTTTACCTCCCAGTGACTGAACACCAGCTGGGGGCTGGCCAGGCCACTTGTCCTTTTTCTTATTTCATCAGCAAAGCCAAAGCTTTCAGCCACGGGCAGCACAGCCTTGATAGCGAACATGTCTGTTCCTTCTTTCATCTCCTCCAACAGGACACGACCTTCTCTCTTTGACAGGACACCATACATACGACCTGTGGAAAATGTGCATGTGAAAACAAAAGTCACAAAGTCAGTCAAATAGTTTCAATCAGTTTCCGCAAAACACAAGGATTTCATTTGAAAATGCAACCAAGAAGCTTGGGGTGTGAAAAACAAACTTCCATTCCGTACAAATTGACTTCTTGAAGTTGATCCCAATAAAAAGCTAAATTATGCATTTAGCATAATTTCGGACACAGGACCACAAGTTATTCTTATTCGACAACGATATACTGTTGCCTTCAGCAGGTTTTGACACTGGCCACCAAGAAGCATGGGGTGTGAAAAACAAGCTTCCATTCTGTACAAATTGACTCCCTGATAACAATAAAAAGCTAAATTATGCATTTTAAGAACTAAAAATTGATTTTCCTTATGGTTCATTAGGGACACAGGACCATAAGTTATTCTGATACGACTGAGATATACTGCTGTTTTCAGCAGGTTTAGACACTGGCAAACAAAATAAATAAATAAATAAATAAATAAATAAATAAATAAAACAGTCCCAGTAGAGCCGTGCTTCCAACCATTATGTCCCAGTTTTTTGCTAGTGTTCTAAGAGGTTGGAAAACTCTATCAAAATTTTGACTATTTTTTCTCTTCTATCAGCATTCTTGGTACTTTGTGGATGTTTTTTCTCTTCAGTCAAGACTTTTATTAAGCTGCATTTTTTTTCTTACTTTCTTGAGTCTCTAGGACTTGTTTTCTTTCTATTTGAATGCTCAGGTTTCACCCTGTAGTTTTTATACTACTCTCTGCAACCAGGTACCTTATTCTATAAACTGTTTCCCCCTATGTGGAAGCTCCTCTTTTACTATTGATCTTTTATCTTTATTAAATATTATCCCCTCTATACTTACAGATTAGAGGTATCCTCTAATTTTCTCATTGTGAGACTGGAATTGAAGGGAACTCTGTTTTGTTCTTCCCTCAGTATTGTTCTGCTTCTAATTTTGAGTGCACAGCCAGGATTCAGATTAACATCTAAAATATGCCTTTCCCTATTTTGCTACCTTTGGGTTGTTTTTTCTGCATCAGCTATTTTCCCAAACAGTATTGTAATATCTATAGTGGCCAGTTTTGTAAATCGTCTCCTTCTGCACTTAATCGTGTGCACAAAGCCTTTTTAGGTAATGGACATCTAAGACATATCCAAATAGCTACTGATCCTGTGTCCTTTAATAAACCACATTGTGCCTTGCGATCCCATGCAGGTGATCGCATTGGGGCCGGAGAGTGTGGCTACAGTGCCATTCACTTCAATGGCCCATCATGCCCCCTCCTGCCCCACAAAAAAGTGAGCCGGCCGCAATGTAGTGCGTTCCGCCAGAATCGGACCAGAACGCACTGCATCTGTTGTAAAAGTAAACATAAAATCTAATTGAAAAAAATGCACTGCTCAGTAACATATTCCTTTACATTTTTGCCCAAGCACTTATAGTCATCATGTTTCTGAACAGCTGGCTCCAGCTCTCTCAGCTATGCTTCTCTGAACTTTCTGTCCAGTGCAATATCACGAGAGAGAGCAATAGTCTTCAGCAGCTCTCCACCTACTAGGAGCAGCATTCACTATAAGTAATTTAATCAGCATTTGAAATAGCTTAAACACCTAATATCACTTTAAATTGTGAACTGTGTTTAGTACCTTCAAAATTCAATACTTTGTATATGAAATCACTTGCAGTTTCCTCTAATAAAGGTCTGTGGCCATTCTGTGCAAAAGCCCACATGAAACAGAACAGTCCCAGTCACTACCACATCCTTGACTTTCATCTATAGCAGCATTACATCTACGGACCCTTTGGTAGGTGGTAGTAAGTGGACAGGACTTGTCAGCAGCCAATTGTTGGAGAAACTGAAGCCAGTAAAAGGTAAAATATTAACACTGGGATGATATTTGCAAAACAACCTGTACGTTCTGCTGCTAACATGAAATTTGAACTGTAAATATATTCAGCCGTGAAACTGAATAAGACCCATAGAGGTGCATTTTCTTTTAAAGAAGAACCAACCAAATAGAACGTTTTCTTTGTGAACAGAGTTATTTACAAACCTGATGCAAACATATTGTAAAATATAATATTGATATATAATGATAAATGTATCACACATACTGTACATAGTATATGCACCTTTAGGTAAATGACAGATTTGGAATACCCTTTGCCAAAATTCTGCACTTGCTTATGAATCATAAATATAAGGACAATGTGTGGCCAGAGTCAGTGTAATACAGAAGCGTAAATGAATAATAAAGATTATTTGCCATTACTCACGCCTTTCAGTTTGTTAGACTCTCTGACGTATTGTGCACAAACTGGGCTTTAGGATTATATAGATTAGCCGATAGAAGAATTGGTGTAACATTTTAATAACTGGTATTAACCATAACTTATGACGTATAAGAACTGGCAGAATGAGAACTCTAACAATGCATTGTAATAAATTAGCCAACAGATGCTTGCATGCTTTTATCTCTCAGTCCCTCCTACATATTTTAAACCCAAAGAGACAAGTGACTAAGGGCTATCCTGTTTCTTTTGTTCTCGGTAATGTTCCTCTGCTTTGCTTCTCTTTGAAAAAATTTCTTTCTTACAGAGTATTGACGGCACCTTCAAAACTTCTGAAGTGAACAAGCAAAAAAGTTGTGTGAGCTTCTTCTTTTAACAATTTGCCTTTGGCAATGTCATACTAATGTAATTAAAAGAGGGATAGCTGCAGACCTCTGTAGGTCAATTGTATTATTTTAAGGAAGATCATAATAGTTAAATTTCAAACCTCTTAGGGTACTCCTAGATATGAGACAATGTATTGCCTGCTGGACAACTGTATGAGTGATGTTTTGTGCAGCCAAAGGCTCCGAAAGCTTATCAGAAAATATCTTCTTTTTAAGCTTGACTATGTACAGTATATATCCACACGCGTGGCCTTCAAGGATTTGTATCATCTTAAATTGTTTTACATTTTTAGGTTCTCCTTTACGCGAAAGGATTGAACATGGGTAAAAAACTGGAAAGTTGACCCAGTGCAATACTTCAAGACCAATACACCTAAAAGAATGCAATCCTGATTATATTTTAGGCAGATTCTGCATAGTTTTCCATCTGGAATTATTGTTTATGTCTTAAACTCCTTCAGGTGGTCAAAATCATGCAGAAATCTTTCATAAAAGTTTTAATATAACATCTATTTACGCGAAAGGATTGAACATGGGTAAAAAACTGGAAAGTTGACCCAGTGCAATACTTCAAGACCAATACACCTAAAAGAATGCAATCCTGATTATATTTTAGGCAGATTCTGCATAGTTTTCCATCTGGAATTATTGTTTATGTCTTAAACTCCTTCAGGTGGTCAAAATCATGCAGAAATCTTTCATAAAAGTTTTAATATAACATCTATGT